ACTGATGATGATGCTTCTTCTGAAACTCATTTTTGCTGCTTTACTTGATTATACTGGTTTTTGTTCATTCTATTAAACTAATCATTATACTTAAAAAAAAGGATTTAAAATCATTAACTGAAGCTTTATTTTGACACTTGTTCCAATTATTCAAGGATTAATCTATTATCTTCCTAAAATAATTATTTTCACGTAAAAGTGGGTATACGATTCTGTGTCTATTAAGAATTTTCCGACTAGGAAATGCATATCATTATAATAAGGAATATCAAATTTCCAATTCGACACGTTTGAAAAGACGATTTTATGGAATCTATGTTGATTTTTAATCTTCCATTCAGAAATTAAAATCTAATATTTAAAGTATTGTTTTGCGATGTGTTTAAGACCTTGTTTTTATAAAATACTGTGAAAAGTTTCATATTGATTCTGAGTGTTAGAAAATTTTAATTAATTGCAGAAATATTAATGGACGATTCAGACAAATGGCGATTATTGCCTTCAAATAATTTAACTTAAATTTGCTACTGGATTTTTTAACCTTCTCGTTAACTTCGCATTTAGGTTTATGAAAATACATTATAAAAACGTTCAATCTAAAAACGCATGTATTTGTATTTTTAGTATTAATTCTATTTTAATTCTTGATTCTGTTGTGATACTCCTAAACTATTACACTAACTGTTTTTTAATCCCATAATGTTTATTAATACCATAGAATAACTTTTTAATAACAAATTTAATTGTGATGACAATCACAAAATACACTTTAACGATCGTAATTCCTTTATTGCAAACGCTCAAAAAGTCTTCTTTTTTTTAATTGGTGTAAATAATTATATATAGTTCCTGGCCAAATTATTAGACGTTCTCTAAGATTCTGTGTAAAATCTTAATTATCAGGTGATACAGCTTTTACTTTTACGAGACTGAAATCGGTTTGCACTCTTTTAAATAATTCGCATATTTATAGATATAGCATAAATATACATTTCTGAAAGAATGATGAAAATTACGATTGAAAAAGGGTGATAAAACAGAAGAAAAATAAAAAAAGCAAGAGGGTGGGGGAATTCGAAAAAGCAATTTATTATTTAAAATCAATTGAGTATGTTGAATCTATCGTATGAGTAAAATAATTTTGAAAATAAGTAACAATTTTACAAGAAATCTTTTTCCACTATCCTACTACCGTTTCGAGTTTCTTTTTATCGAAAATTAATGCTTAATTACATACTATAAAAAGGTTCGTAAAAAAAACTCTATTTATTTAGTACAGGTTAAGCTTAATTCAAAAATTAATTTATGAACCAACAACAGATTCTCAAATTAAAATCAAACTATTTCTTAAACTGTTGTAAATTTAATCGGTTTTCTTCTTTATCGTTCTCTTCCATAAATGTATTTAATGAAGAGAAAAGATCGTCTGTCTTTTTGCTCTCCACCCCATTATTCAACGATCCGTAAGGATTCTCAAAAGATAATTTTCCGTTAACAATTACCGAATTCTTTTTATCAAAAAAAAAGAAGAAGCATTCGATACGCAGATTAAGAGGTTAATTTTTAGTCTGTGATTGAAAAGTCGTCTGATTCAGAGGAAATATTTATTGAAATTAAATAGTCATAAATAACTTATAGAAGCTAGAATGCATAGAATTGCAAACAAAAAAAGAAAATTCTTTTTAATGGCTGTGGGAAAATTTCCCTTTATACCATTTTTCTTTTTGAAAAAGAAATGAAGCAAAAAAGAATGTTTGATGCAAGAGAAAACTAATTACTTCTTACGACTTTTTAATCCCACCTCTGTTTTCTTTGTCTAGAAACAGATACCTGAAGACGCCGTGAAGTTAAAAAAAATTAGAAGAAGAAAAAAAAAAAACACGAGAAGTAAAGCGTAAAAAATAATGACTAAGTAAAAAAAAAAAAAAATGCCACAATGAGTTGTTATTTTTTGGTGTGTGTGTATTTGGGGTGGCCTCATTAAGGCTTTAGAATCAGTGGCGGCTCAAATGACCAAAAAGCCTTATCTTTCAGCTGTTGTCATTTCTTTTAAAACTATTTGCGTTCGCAATCGACACGTTGAACATTGTTTTTTAATGTTTTTGTATTTTGATGCTTTGTGGTAATGAGATTTTAAAAGGATTAAAGGTTTTTTATTATTTACATAGCCGATCTCTAAAGCCGATTTGAGCAGATCTTTTAAGGTTATAACCCCCTCCATTTAAATAACGTCCAAAAAAATTTTTTTTTTACTTTTAACTTTTTAAAATTAATTTTTTTCTCCTGTTGATAAGGAAAATTCTACAACTTGTACGGTATCTTTTAACGAAAAACGTTTAAAAGTGATTTTAATTTTAACCAACTTGAACAAATTTTTATTTGTTCCTTGAAAAAAAAAAATTAAGAAAAATTTATTTTAAGATATTTTTATTTCAACGTTTAATATTTACTAAAATATCCTCAATTTTTCCATTTTTTCCCCCCAATTCTCATAACTATATGCGTCTTAATCTACGGACAAAGCACGCTGTAGTGAACATGGTTTACAGTGAAATCCCGGACAGAGTGAACGAAACACATATAAATGTTGTGAATATGGTGAACCAAAAGAAGATATGATTAACTTTTTTCTCTCTTCGACAGAATTTTTCTCTCCATTTTTGGTCATTTTGAAATGTCTACATAAAATACCGATTTTTAAAACCATCTATATAGAGTATAGCATTCTGTCTTGTTTACTTCTTCCCTTACCATAATTTTTTTGTACGTAAGACTAGTAATAAAAAATAAAATTTAACACATTTTTTGTGACTACATGTTGATTTTTAATCATTTTTGTATTTTATTTTTCTGGGTCATTTATTTAAATAATGTGTCATAAAAGGGAGGAGTTAAAATTGTTTGCAGAGAGTGAACTCCCCGGTTATAGTGAACACCGGTCCCTTGAAGGTTCACTATAGCGGACTGTATTATCCACACATAGATAATTTTATGTGCAAAAATCTAACATAATTAATGTGTATACAATTTTCATTAATAACTACATAATCTAATATGCACATAATTCATTCATTGATATAATAAACGCATTAATTATTTTTAATGTCTTCATATTTTACACATAAAATGTATGAACTATCGTTTTTGATGCGGGTTTTGTAAATGTTTCTTTTTTGTTATCGTCCGAGCAATATCCGTAAATGACTTCATGTCCAATAATGACGTCTTTTTAAAAACTGTTTTAAATCAAGCTTTTTAAGTTTTGTTAAAATGGGAAAAAAATTTATATTTTGACTCGGTATTCTGTTATTTTTAACACGAAAAATGCTTCAAGTTAAATGATTATATATATATATATATTCAAGAAACAAAAGGATTTTGAATAAAATTTTTGTAAATCTTAAAATATATTAAAAATTAGGAAAATAATCAAGAATGGAATCAAAGAAAAATAAATATTATCGAGTGAGGATTTGTTAATCAAGTAAAAATATCACAAAAATCCAAAATAAAACGTATAAAAGGATAATTACGATTGACTTTCGAAAAATATTTTAAAAGTTTTTCCTTAGCTGAGCTGTCTTACAAAATAGGAAATCGAAGCGTTATGGAGATTTATTTGTAAGCGTGTTCATACTGAAGTTAGAAACCGCGTCTGATTTGTCCGTTACTTTGAATAGACCCGGATTTATGCATTGTAATATATTATCATAGATAACACAAAAATTGTTATTGAAAAAAGGTCGCATATTAAATACATTTTAATTCCATGATTTTAATAAAAATTATTGATATTTATTGAATAATATTTATTGAATAATATTTATTTGAATATGGGAGGGAGTGACTGGTTATTTAAATTTCAAACAATTCTCAGTAAAATAGAGATCTCACAAGAAAAAAAAGAAGAATTTTAGAATAAGAATTAATAAAAGGCAGTTTAAAAGAGGAAAACATTAAATTAAAATAGACAAAACCACAAAGTTATAACTTCTTTCTCAACTCACGCGATAATAGGTATAATATGAGCAACAAAAAATTATTCATCAATTTCACCACGTTTAACATCACATTGTGGAACACTAAAATATCCCTAGTAACAATTTCTCATCGGTCCCAGTTCCCAAAACCTTATTCTTGATATTACAGGATGTTAAAAATAGAATGAGAAAAGCGTTTACTTTTTAGGTTTTATTGAAGGGCTATAAAATATCGGGTTAATCGTCCATTTTTAAACAGGGTCTACATTGGATGAATAACGTCCTTAAAAAAACGGGTGAATCATTCAATTCGGCCTATATTGTTTGAGTAACGGTTATAAGATATCGGGTCAATCGGATAATTTTAAGTAGGGTTTACACTGGCTAAATAACAATTGTAAAACATCGGTTGAGTCGGATATTTCTATATCGAACCAACGTAGGTCGAATAACGGCTATAAAATATTGGGTGAACTTAACAAATCTGTACAGGGCCGATATTGAGTAAATAAGGGCCATAAAATATCGGATCCATTGGATAATTCTATATAGGGTAAATATCAGTGGAATAGTGTCTATGAGATATCGGGTGAACTTAACAAATCTGCATAGGGCCGATATTCAGTAAATAAGGGAAATAAAATATCGGGTGATTTTGACAATTTTATATAGGGTAAATATCGGTTGAATAGTAACTATAAAATATCGGGTGATTCGAACATTTCTAAATGGGCCCAATATTGGCCTTTTAAAACCTTGTTGAGCAGTGATTGGTGAATTTTTTGCCCAATGATTTCCAAAGTTATTTTGCTGCTAGGGATTATACTGATCTTTGACATAATTTAATCAGGTGAACATAATTTAAATGACATAATTTAATCAAGACATAATTAACCGTTTGACATAGTTAACAGTTTGACATGATTTAATCAAGTGAAAGAAAAAAACATAAAATTCAAACCTAAACATATGTGCGAAGAATGGAAAGAAATAGTTGTAAAAAAATATAATTGTTCTTACTTTGTCCCTTCTCTAGCAACAGCAACGAAATCACCTGAAACAATGAAAAGATCTTCGGTTAGAATGCCATAATTAGTTTGCATGCAACATTCATCATGTCATAGATTTCGATCTCTTTTAACGCATTCATATGCAATTCTATATATTTTTAGTTATGTATATTAATCTGATATAAACATTCATTCTTAGATGAAAAACTGACAGACATGAATACGGATTCATTTAAAAATGAGGACAAAAAAAAAAGTAGCAACAGCCTCCCCCCCCCACACCACCCTGAAAATAGGATTGAACTTTATTTCCAAATGCCTTCATTTTTAATAAAAAAAAAAAAACTGTTTTCCTGTTGATATATTCGCTAAAGATGGTACTTTAGAACCTTTTTCTCTATCCTTCCATCTGCTTAAATATTTTGATCGAACCATTATTTAACCCTTTTATAATGTCGTGGTAAGTATATTTACCACCAACTTTAGATATTAATTTTTAAATATCAATGGGAAGCTATTAACCCACCTATGATGACTTATGCAGATGATAACTTCAAAAAAAAACAAACAAACAAATAGATGTCAAGAAAAGCTATGTTTTCATAAATAAGGGTAACAGTAAAGGTTAGCGCGTGATCAAGAAGACAGGTCAATACTTAAAATCTATTTTCTCTTGTGTGATATGTGTTCATTCATTTGATCATATATATTGAGCAATAAACATACAATTTCTAAATTCCATTATTTGAAACAAAAAAAAAATTCAAATCTTTGGACAATTCTTTACAGTGAGTTAAATTTTGAAGAGAAAAAAAAAAACATCTTAAAAATCATATTAATTTTAGGTAATGTATGAAAATAAATGAAATTATTCTTATATAACAATCTCAATCCTAAAAATATTTTAACGTATCATTACTATAAGAAACTGGCAATGCAAAGGGTTAATTCGTCAAAGATATATTTAAAATAGTTTTGCTATCCTGTATTCCCACTATTTCTTGTGTTTAGCCCAGTATTGGAACTCTATTTAATGCGTCTTTCAATCAATCAGTTTTGTTTAAAAAAATTTCTACCTCTATTTCTGAATATATAAAGAAATTATTGTTTCAGTCGCAACGAACCAAGACAAACTCTATTTTTAATAATGTCTATTCAAATTTAAGGTAAGTCTTCATTTTCAAAATACATATTAAATTAGATTAGACATTTCAAGTTTTCCAAACTATAATAAATTTTTGGTACTTTACGGTTAGCAGCAGATTTTCAACTATTTTCTTTTCTTAATTTTTATTAAATTGAATAAAGAAAAAAAAGTTGGTGGAGTTTTTGGCAATTTTTTGCTACCACCGGGCAAACAGAAAAGTATCAACTTTTTTCTTAACCGCATCCCTGATTATTCCGAGTAAACTCGGGCAAAGCTGAATTCGTCAATACGTTTTGTTCTATCACGTTTTTACTCGGCCGACAGCAAAACAAATAATCTGCTGTGATTGGCCACTTTTTGACTGCAGACGTGTTTTGTGCAATTACATGAAATGGTGGATGAATTTACATAGAAAAGAAGAGTAAAGAGTTCGTGATCGAAAGTAATGCAGATGATTTTTCAGATGATGAAGATGTGAACAGATACAAAGACTCATATTTAACTTTATTTCATTTGCCCGAGATCATTTGGGATAGTAAACTGATGGTACATTAAATATTTTTTACACATAAAAAAAAATTAAAATTTCAACTTAGAAGAAGAACTTGCGTATTATGTTTTGAGTTCCTTGTATTTATGAATGAAATAAAAAATTTTGATATTTTTTTGCATTTTTTTTTCTTCAAAAAAATTGGTAAGGAAAGCAATTAAATCGAGATTTATAATCATTTTAAATCTATGAACTTAATCGTTTTTCTCATCACATTTAGAAATCGCTGAAAGGAGCATTAAAAAAAAAAATTATATCGAGGAGCGTTTTTGTCATAAGAACTTTAAAAAATATATATATATTTACAATCGTAAAGAGCGACATTTGTAGAGATTTAACAGCGAGTTGAAAATATAGACTCGACATTTAAAAGGAAGTAAAAATTAAATTAAAAAGTGCACTTTATAACTTTTAAAGTGACAAGAAGCGAGAAAATTTATTCTTCCATTGTGGAGACCATTAATAAAGCTATTCCCGACTATTTAAAATCCTCGGTATTTTTGGAAGAGAGAAATTTTTTTCTTCTTCTTCTCTCCTCCACTTTCGTACGCAGTGTCACGATTTTGAGAGATTCCACGTTTTCACAGAGAAAGATTTCTGTAGTTGAGAAATAATTAATTGGACCCTCGAACTAGAAACGTAAAAAATACGTAATTAAATTTTTGGCCTTAGGGCTCATTTACTAAGCACTAGGCAGGACACGGAGTGAAGAAAAAAAAAAAAAAGCTATTCAGAGAATTTCTAGAAAATTTGTACGAGAGAGACAGGAAAGAATGACAATGAATATTTTTCACAAGTTTTGAAATCGCTTTTCAAAGAGAAGTGGCTTATTTTTTTTTTTTTTTNTTTTTTTTTTTTTTTTTTTTTTTTTTTTTTTTAGTGAAAAGATTGGAATTCTTGAATAATTTCTGTGTCGCAAAAATTTCGTTTTTGTGTTCTTTTGGCTCCAAAATCGGTCACTGCATTTATGTATATAACTTAACTCATATAAGCGTTATAAATTGAAGATGAACAAGAATATTAGATATGATTCATTTACATAAAACTTAATTCATAAATGAACATTGCAAACAAATAAGAAATAAAATTAAAATGGAGGAAAATTTTTTATAAACTCGTTTCATCAATAAGTTTCATTATAATCTTTTAAAAATAGTTCAGTAAAGTAAGACATGAACAAGAATATTTTTTTGAGTTGATAATCTACTAGAAAGACAGAAACTTAGTATATACCAAATTACCCAAAAGCAGTCTAAATGACTGAATTATGACAGAATAATGTGCAAAGAAATTTGTTTGAAATTAATTTGTAATATTTTTTTTATAATATTTACAGTTATATAACAAGTTATTAGTAAATATTAACAATAGAAAATATTAACAAGTTATTAGTACAAGTTATTAGTAAATATTAACAAGTTATATAACAAGTTATTAGTAAATATTAACAATAAAAAAATTATATGTTGTACAAAATGTTCTGAAATTCTAATCAATTGTTTTATTTTATATATCATTGTTTCTCTAATTGAAATTAAAAAGCAGTCAGAATTATACTTCCTCGGACAATCTAGTGTTCATACTTAATCTATTTTTTAGAGTGTTTTGATAAATTTAACACTGTGTGTGGGGTGTCTCTATTTTTCACAAAATGGGGTGTCTCTATTTTTCGTGACATTTTCGGTCAAAAATAGCGAACCGAAAATATTAAAACAATCTTATGTTTCGTAATCTATACACCAGATTGCAATGCTTGTAATGTGTTTAGGGACTAAACTAGATGTGAGACCAGATTGCAATGCTTGTAATGTGTTTAAGGAGTAAACTAGATGAGAGCACACATGGAAGCTGAAAACTAACGAAAATATTCAAAATTAATATTTTACATGCACTTTATTTTATATAATTATTCTATGAATAAACACTTTTATGACTTCAAAATGATGACGACGATGAAGAAGGAGTTTTTTGCAAATTCCCCGATAACAAATAAAGGGAGTGGCAAAAAATATTTATATTATTAAATGAAAAGTGTAATTTTTTTAAAGATAAAATTTGTATTTATTAGACACACTTAATAAGAGAAAGTTATAGATCGATTATGTCTTAAATCCATAAAACAAAACAACTGCTTGAAAAACAGTTTTTTCTTAAAAATAATGGTTCGTGTGAATTAAATTTAAAATTATAATAATATATTTTACTGATGAAAAAAAAAACTACTGATAAAACTGCGCAAAATTAAATACATTGATTTAATTTCTTAAACATTATTATTTCTAATAGGGAAGAATAATCAGCTATATTTTAAAGCAAGTGTAGATAATTCGTGATGATTTAACATTTCGAATAGATAATTAAAGATAGCTACAAGAAATTCATTCACATAATATAAAAATGTTAATGAAATTTCATTCCCGTAAACAAAGAATTTTATCTGAAATCTTAGAAAAAGAGTAATTTTACGAATGTAGATTTTACACACATAAATTAATTGCGATATTACCAAATTAAAAGAATATTTAAATTAATAAACACATTACTTTAAACGTAAGAATTACAGACATAATATAGGATTGCTTAGAAATTAAAACATTAAATAAAGTCAATATTTTAAAAATAATACCCAATAAAAACTCAGAACGCGAGTGAAACACGTTATATTTTGTTACCCTATAATTTCTCACGAGATAGCATTCTCGAATAAACTGATTCAACGGAATAAATAAATTGAACTGATTCCACGCGACAACAAATGAATTCCTTATTTAGCTGAGGCGAGTAAATTAGCAGAAATCTTAATTTTAATCTTGTGCATATTTGTCCCATTAGATTTAAGATAAAATTAATTAGATAAATTTTAAATGGAATCCGTTGTGTTCAAACTAGTAATTAATTTCGAATATTAAGGTTTTTGATGAATACAAGAAACTTTTTAGACAGCATCGAAACGTAGGATTAAAATTAGATTTCTTTTTTTTCCATCGCATTATAAATTTAAATTACTTTTTTATTAAAAATTTAAAGAACGTCATTACAAATGAAGTGTTGTAGTTGGGAAGAAATATTGCTACATTATAAAATTACGGTAACTTTTGATTTAAATTACATTAATTTACTTTATATTTGAGTTTTGTTTACTTTTTTTTAAAAAGTCAAATATTACCAACTGTCCTATAATTAATTTTAATTATAATCATTCACAAATGACAATTTTATACTAATCACACTTGAAATATTTGTAAATAATTTAAGTAATTAACATTTCAAAATTATTTTTAAAGAACAAATTTATAGGAAATGGTGGTTTATAGGTAATGAAGTAATTAGAATTTTTCACAATTAAG